GAGGGGACGCGGATGAGGAGGGGATTGTATTGCTTGCAAAACTCGTTTGAGTCCCCAACCCAGAATTTCAATCATGTGCAATATTTTAGAACAAATTGTATAAATATTCTTATCTTCTATTTACTGTTGCTTCATGAAAATTCTATGATTTTTACGATAGATGCAATGAAATTCAAAGAGAATTTATAGCACAGATAAATTTAATTAATTAATTCTCTATAGAAAAAAAATACAAGAAAGCAAAGAAACCGAATTCACTCAGCGTAGAATGTACAGGTACACTCTTTAATATTTATCGTTTGCTACAATTTCAAGTGTTGGAAATGCTTATTCATTGTTTATTTCCAAGTTTGTAAATAATGGAACTTTCCCCCAACTATTCGTTCAACTTTTAAACAATCTCTCGTAATCTTTGCTTTCCCATGCAATAATTCTGTCAGCGTATGGTCGGTCAATGACTATTTTGGCCAACTGACTAAATCATTCAAAATGTGAATGATATTCTGCCGGGCAGGCACGCAGACCCAAAGCAGTTAAGGCCTCTTCAAATGTTACTATCAGCATCTACTACCTTTTAGATAAGGCTGCCACAGAGGGGCAGGCAAAGTGAGTAAAGACTAGATTTAGCTGGATAACAATGGTAATTCCTGCTAATAATGACAATCATAAACAACAATGTCGTACGTGGGGTGCCAGTGGGGTTGTGGCTTTTGGGACCATGTACTACCCTACCATCCATGTCCCTGTCTGTCCATGCAGTGTGCGTGTGGCATAACATTTTGGGCATCAGTGAAAAAGAAACGCACAACAAAGCTTAATGCTGTTGAAAATGTGTCTAAGAAATTTGTGTGATTTAAGAGTTTCTTTATGTTATTTATTATATTATTTGCCGTGTTTCCTCACTTTTCTTTAAAGCGTGATCCCCATTTTATAAGGCAGGAGACTCATAGTTCTTGGCTTTCCAAAACTATCTGCGTTTTTGTACATTTTTTATCAAGTTAGGGAAAAACGTTTGTATGGAAATGACAATTTATTGTGAAATTGGGCAAGTGTAGTTTCCAAATCTCGTTTTAAAAGTGTGCTGAAATGTTCTTAATGAACATTTCATTCCTTTCATTTTCTCACCTTTTTAATTCACATTTCTCATCGTTCTTCTAACATCCCATGGCATCTTGTGACATTCCCATTTAACACTTTGTTTATGCAAGAAATCTAAAGAATTCATAATCTCTCTATCGCTTCGCAGCTTCCGAGAGAGTAGAGGTAGCATTTTTCACACTCTCAAACATTTTGGTCAAAAAGATGCGACCAAAAAAAATATGAAAAACTTCTCAAAGAAGAGCAAAAAAAACAAAACAAAAACAGCGACAAAACCATTTCCGTTACAGCAAAAGCAACAAACAAAACAGTAAAAGCAACAACAACTAAAAACAACCTTAAAAAGATTTTAATGACTAAACTTTTAATACACACACATATGCAGCTACGCAACACACACAAGCACACTCTCTTTATGCACACCAGAGAGCATGTCACATATGTGAGAGCATTGTTCTGTGAGAGAGCACCCCCCCCCCCCCCCCCCCCCCCCCCCCCCCCCCCATGGGCGACAGAACAGCAAAATGACAACAGAGCAGAACGCACCTGTCCGAGGGAGGAGATAAGAGAGGGGCAGGTGGACAGAGAGAACTCTCGAGCAAGCAAGAGTGGGTGAGTGGGTGAAGGAGAGAGATAGAGGCAAAGGGCTGGCTGGCTGGCTGGCTGCCTGCCCAGACAGCTTATCGCTGGACAGACTGCGCAAGTTCTCCCTCCCGCTCGCACAACCTCTGCCGACCTCTCTTTTACACCCACTCAATGGTTTACTTTTTTAGGAAAACGCGCAGTTTCCGCCAACAAGTAAATTGTAACAACAAAAACCGAGTGACCATCACAAATCACAATATAATAAGACCATAAATAAGGCTAATAAATGTTCAGAGTGAGGCGGAGGGAGTCCAAGAACTTTATTACGATTTTGCAAACCGTATTACGATGTGCCACAAACGTTTTCAACGCAGAAGGTAAAGCATTTTCGTTTCCACAAAGAATGCAAATGTATATCCACTCGTCAATTCCCGAAAGACAATAACACCCGAGTCAGTTCGCCGGAGAGCTCCACAAATGTTAGCTTTATATTCAGAAATGATCTTAAATTTAGATCTATCTTCAAATAACCGATCTGATCTCAAAGGGTAACAAAAGCGTCGAAAGCAGGCCTTCATATTTTCTTGTTTAATTTAATTTCGTTACAATTTTGTGCACGCTTGGACGCTTCTATAAATTCGCCGCGAGATACAACCCCTACAACAAAAGCAACCACTGCAACAATAAATATTAAACAACAAATAGTAAAAGGCACTAAAAAACACACACAGAGAGATGGAGAGGAGAACAGAGAGCGATAAGCAGCGAACAAAATGCAAAGCTGGCAACGCTGTCCGCTTCAAGAAGAGAACGCACTGAAAGGTGTAATCGGGTGGAAGGGGAGTGAAGTCTACGATCAGCTGCAATTGGCAACAAAAAAAAAAAAAAGAATACCAAGAAACCCTCTCTCAATTGAGAAACTCTGCGGAAATACTCTTTACTACTTTTTTTTTCCTCACTTTTCTGGTTTAATTTTCTTGACTTTTCCAATTAACGTTCTGCTGTGGGGCATAATTTTACTCCTTTTTTATTTGAATTTGTTGAATTTTTGCTGTTAATTGTAACACGAGCACTCGAACACACGAAGGAACTGCGCTACTATATGGCCGAGAGGTGGCACAGGGGTGGTGTGCCACTAGATCTATTATGTATATACTTTTTTCACACCTTGGGGACACACACAAACACACACGAATGCTCAGACAGCGAAGAGAAGCAGAAGAATTGAGCACGCGACCGACACGACCGTTGGATCGCACAGAAAAACGTTTCATTGCCTCCTCTTCTGTAAATTCTTTTACTTTTCCTTCTTTCCTTTTATATATATATATTTTTACACACGCACTGGTACAAAACTCTGGCCCGAACGCAAAATCAATTGAAATATTTAAGTTTTTGTATATTTAAATTGAGTTTGGATTTCTTTTCGGGCTGCTTTTGTGTGGCAGTGTGGCGTTCCGTTCCCGTGGTCGATCAACAAACGTGCGCAACAAAGACGCGCGCGCTTCGTACGTGCAATGCTAACGGGGCGAATGAAAATGTTTTGAAATTTGAAAAGTCGTTTCAATGATTCTGAGCAGCGTACGAACAGAAACCGGTTGTATATGCCGAAGCCTGCCGAAGCTGGCTCTCTTTCGATTCACACTCAAAAACGAGTGACTTTGGCCTGTGCAGACAGCAAGAGAGCAGCAAAAAACACGCTCATGAACGTTTGCTGCGAATTCACGTAAAATAAACAAAGCGAAAAACGCCACTCAAAATATGCAAGTGAGTGGCGTCCGACGTTTTTGTTGGAGTAATTATTTGTGTTGAGTCTTTGCGAATGAGTTAGTGTGTTCGCTCTTTTGTTTTTTTGATACCCAGTACTCGAAACTATTAAAGCAAGATGTGTAATTAACCTTTTTCAAGTATTTTAAGTAGAAAATGCAATAACCAATTTAACGGACACACCACATTAAAAGCAAAGCATACCAAATCAGATTGGTACCATATCCAATACATTTTTTATTTATTGGTTTAAAAACGATTTGCGACAGAATTTGATCATTTAAAATTCTGCAGTCCAACCATACACATCGAACAGACAGAACAATGAATCTAATGACTGCACTACTGTTCCTCGTTCTCATTAGCGGTGTGGCTAGTAAGTGTTGCCACCCCAAACACTTTTCATGGTCTGGTGTACAGACATGCCATGATGGAAGTATCACGGGAGCGTATTGTGGTAGAGGCCCCTGTAATATTTTCGGATGCAATTGCGATGGCGGATGTAGAGGTTAAAGATAATATATTTGTCAATAATTATCGCAAGTAAAACACAAACTTAAAATTTAGACTAAGATTTTCTTTTACTTTTCTATTACTTATCCCTAAAACACAATCTAGATACTCATTTTCAGACTTCCTTTGTGTAAATCTAGTGATTTTTGTGGAACCAATCAATTCCTCAGTCTCAGTCTAACTTTATTTGTTACACTGGTTACAGATCTCGTACATCCAAAAAATATTCCAAGAAATTTACGCACATGAATAAAATATGCCAAATGAAGAGGAAGCGCCGGAAATCTTATCCTGCCCACGGAAGTTTCTATTGATTTTATGGAAAAACTTAAGTGTGCTCTTGGGACACAAGTGCCAGTTGGCTTGCTTCTTATTATCTTTTCTAATGACGTTGATCCCCCTTTTGCTGTCGGCATTAAGATTCTTGGTACTACACGACTCACACCCAGACTTTGAGCCCAGGGCTACCAGAAAAGTAAGTCGAAAAGCCACTTCTAAGTAAATAATATTGTGTTAATTATGTGTGGTCCACCCACAGAGAAATTATCTTATGTTACTCACCTCAAAATGCAATTTTAGAGTTACTTATTAAGGGTGTATCCTTTTCTGAATCTGAATATGTATCTGGTGAACGTATATATCATGTTCAGGGCTTTGTCGATGCCAATGGGCTGGAGAAAGCGCTTACAAAAAATAGTTCGTACAGAGGTGGGATCGGCATAGAGTTTCCCGACGAGTGGTCCGACATATCCGAATTGCCGAATAAATTTCGATTTGCTTTGCGGTTTCCCGTCAACAGAGAAACCCATTTTTCAACCAATCACCTGATGTCGCAGAGCGCAAAAGTATCATATTACCGGATAAGTGGGTTTCTGATTCTTCAGACGGAAATCAGCTTGAAGTATCTGCAGAAAAAGAATTCGACCCATACTTTTGTTAGACCAAAACTCGAATTACTCTATGATCAGTACATTTTCATGATTTTTTTCAAGGCTTCTGGAGTACTTTTAATGTTACTTTTTTTGTTTCCCTTTACAATGGATGTTAAGGTAAGACAAAGGCTTGCTCTTGTTGCAGTTATTAAAGAATTGCATTTTTCAGAGCATTGTCGAGGAAAAGGAGCTTCAGCTGAAGGATCTGTTGAACATCTCCGACGTTAGCAACTCTCTCCAATGGCTGGCCTGGTATGTCAAGTCCATGATAATTCTATTCATACTATCGCTGATTATTACAATACTTTGGACGGTGGTCAGTATGCCTCGCGGGAATGGTAGGTGCCTTGGCGGTAAGCCGGTCTTCCCTTACACTGACTGGTCGGTCTTTCTGTTATACTTGCTTGTGTGCAGCCACTCTCTCATATGTTTTGGCTTCTTGGTCAGCTCCTTCTGCGCTCGCAGCAATTGGTGTGCCATCATTGCCATTATTCTGTTCATTGCGAGCTCTCTGCCCAATTATGTCACGGACAAGGACAATACTGGGACACTGTTGAACATCCTGTGCAGCATTTTCGTTGTGTCAGCCATGAGCATGGTCATGGATCGAATTGTCGTATGGGAAGATGCGGGTTTGGGCCTGCAATGGAGCAATCTTTTTGAGACGTCGTGAGCCCGGGACAGGAATTTCCCGTGCACCAAGCGCTTCTGGTGTCCGACCAAGTCACTATCCCCACACAGGCTGTTCCCTGTCCGACCCAGCGACGAGGAGCGACCTTCGGATAATTCTTCGGACCGTAAGACCTCCAAGTATGTGGATGCCAGAGCCAAAGGTAAAAGCGCTGGTGTACAGATACAGAATCTCAGCAAAAGCTTTGGCAAGCGACAGGTGGTCGATGGCCTCAGATTCGATATGTATGAGAACGAGATCATGGTGCTCCTGGGACACAATGGAGCAGGCAAGACCACGACCATACAAATGTTGACGGGCACCATTCAACCCAGCTCCGGCACAGCGATCATCAACGGCTACGACATACAAACCGAACACCTCCATGCCCGTCGATCCTTGGGCTTTTGTCCACAGAAAAGCGTCTTCTTCTCTGGTTTAAGTGTGGCTGGTCTCTTCGATTCTACAGCCGCCTCAGGGGTCTAAAGGGGGCAGCGGTCAAGCAGGAAGTGAATAAATACTTGCAGAAGCTGAACCTCAAAGAAAAGGCGGGCACCTCGGCCCGTCGTCTCTCTGGGGGGACACAGCGTCGGCTTGCGTTGGCCTGTGCCCTGTGCGGCCACGTCAAGGTCCTGTTCTGCGACGAGCCCAGTACGGGTCTGTATCCCAGCTCACGGCACGACCTGTGGAAGCTGTTGCTGGATGAGAAGCGGGGACGCACCATTCTGCTTACCACCCACCATATGGACGAGGGCGAGGTGTTGGCCGACCGCATTGCCATCATAAGCGATGGACGGCTCCGGTGCCTAGGCACATTGGCGTTCCTCAAGAAACAGAACGAAACCAGCTACCTGCTCACCTGCGAGAAGGGCCCCAACTGCAATGTGTCCAGGTTGACCCAACTGATCGCGAGCCACGTGCCCATTACGCGTCCTCATAGTAACATTGGATCAGACGTGTCCTATCGATTGCCGCACCGCTTTTTGGGTTCCTTTGGCTCACTCTTCAACGACTTGGAACAACAGCAGGATCAGCTGGATGTGGTCGGATTTGGCCTTAGCTCCACGAGTCTTACAGAAATATTTATGTCGCACGGTGCGGAAGATCTCGGTGGTGGTGGTGGTCGGGGTCGCACTAGCAGCGGCGGCGGCGGCGGCGGATCGGATCAGCAGAGGCCGGTACAGAGTCAAAGTCAAAGTCAGAGACAAAGCCAAGAACAGAGCCGTTATCTTAACTTGTTCCAGCGCTACCTGGCCCAGTGCGAGGCCATGATGCTGAAGAAGCTCCTCCACATATATGATACGAAGTGGTTGTTTCTGTTCATCCTGCTGCTGCCCATTATCGCCTACGTGGTAGTTCTTATTCATATGTCTTTCAGGTAGCCCACTTCTGTCCAGGCTACCGATAACACTGGCTGATTATAAAAGCGATGACGTGAGAGTAATACTGCAATCGACATCGGACACTCGCCCTGCGCGTGATATAGCCAATGCCTACCAAGAATTGGCAAAGCAGCACTGCACCGTCCAAAGACTTAGCCAGAATTTTAAGGACTTCGTCGGCCCATCGGTGCAAGACACGCCAGCGAGATTATACGAAATGAAGCGCCGTCTTTTAGCAGCAGCCACCTTCGACAAAGAGACGATCGTCTGGTGTAGATCTCTACACTTCATTCATAGCGATCCTCTTTCGCTCAACCTAGCGTTCAACGCCATGGCGAAAGCGATGGTCGGTCCCGAGGCGAGCATAGAGGTAACCAATGCCCCCTACGAAAAATCGTCCTCCCTTGAGCAAAACTTAACGGTATATGTGACCGTGTGCATGTGCATAATGATTTATCTGGCCATTGTCCTGCCGATATTCGCCATCTCAGTGGTGCAGGAGAAGGTATCGCAGATACGGATGCAGCAGCAGGTGTCCGGTGTGAACCTGGCCACCTACTGGCTGACCCATTATATCGTGGATTTGACCCTCTACTTTGTGTTTTCCCTGGCACTGACACTGGCGGTGCACGATTTGTGCAATCCCTGGGACATGCTGTCAATACTCATGATCATCGGAGCGGCGGGGCTTCCCTTTACCTATATATTGGCATGCTGTTTCCGAAGTGCTGGCTCAGCCTTGGCTGTAATTATCAACATTCACATTATAGTCGGTAGTATTTTCAACGTCAGTTTTCAAACTGAAACATTTAAATGTAACTCCACCCGTTTCTCCTTCTCACGTAGGTACGGTCGTTGCCTTTATGATGATGGGCATATGGTCCATGACACATAGGGGTGCTATCAGTCCGCTGATTAACATATTTTACCTTTATCCTATATTTACTGGCACATTTGGGGTAACAAACTGTTTTATAAGGATTAAATATTGCAAATATCTACTTGAAGAAATGGAAGATTTATTTAAATTGCATTGTACTCCTGGACTAACCCCAGGACTATCATCAAGTCTCCCACAAGTGTGCCCTTGCCGGGGTATGTATGAAAATAGGGTACAGAAGGTCTGTCCGTCCATCCGTCTGTCCGTCTTGATGAGCGCCTCGATCTCAGAGGCCACAAAAGCTACAGCATCCAAATATTGCATCGATACTGCTGTGACATCACACTGTTAAAAGTGTATTTCAAAATTGCGCCACGCCCCCACAAAAGGTCGAAAATCTGGTGTATGCGCCATTTTGAAGATAGGATAAGAATGTCCGTAGGGTTAGCAAAATGTCGAGCGCGGATCGCAAGGAGCAAGCTTTGGTCCTGAACAATGTCTCGAAAAGATTCTGCACCTTTTCCGCCGTGGGTGGCATATCTTTCGCTGTCAAACCGTGAGTAGTGATTAATGTGCATTAATGACTGTAACTAAAACACCAATTTAATGCAGGGGCGTGTGCTTTGGTCTACTGGTCTACTGACGGCAGGCAAAATTCATGTCAGAGGCTGGAGCCTACAATTCCGTCCCAGGGCAGCGAGGAAGCAGCTCGGCTACTGCCCCCAGCACGACACGCTCTTCGACTTTTGCACTGGCCGTCAAACACTCAGGATCTTCCTTTTGCTGCGCGGCACACGCCGGAATCTCCTCAGAGAAATGTCCGAAAAGCTGGCCACCGACTTAGGCTTTCTTGCGCACCTCGACAAAAAGGTCAAGGCCTACAGTGGCGGCACTAAGCGAAAGTTAAACGCAGCGGTGGCTGCCGAGGGCTCATCGCTCCTTTGTCTGGACGAGCCCAGCTCCGGGGTCGATCCGGCGTCCCGGCGCCACGTGTGGACTGTCCTCTCCTCGCTGCGTGACAAGGGCAAGGCGGTGCTGCTTAGCTCTCACAGCATGGAGGAGGTGGAGGCCCTCTGCTCGCAATTGGAAATTATTGTGGATGGGAAAATTCATTGCCTCGGATCGCAGCAGCGCATCAAGAATAAATTTGCCGAGAGTCTGGTGCTCAAGTTACATGTAGAGACCGGAAATCTGGAAAGGTGAGACCATCCCAGACGTACAGAGATAAACCCTGAAACCCTCTAACCCACCCACCCACACAGCCTAGCGTACACTGTGGAGAAAGTAAAGAATCAAATGGCATCGGACTTTCCCAAGTCATCGCTACAGTAAGTTGCATTCTTGACCCACCAAACACACTCACTCGAAATGAATGATCACTTAGGGAAGAGTTTGGAGGAAGGCTCACCTACCACATACCCACTGCCAAACTGAGATGGTCGCGGGTATTCTCATACGTTGAGAGGAATCGCAGCCCTTGGAAGTTATTGGACTACTCTCTGTCGCAGCCGTCGGTGGAAGATGTCTTTCTGGACATTGCAAAGAAGAGCGCGCAGGAAAAAACACAACAAAATATTCAAAACAGCCAACCAAAGAGTCGTCCTACCAAGAAGGAATCCGCCAAATCAAGTAAGGATAATGGCCGCGCCACTAGGTTGACCAAGCCATAGGCCTGTAGCAATTCAGTGGGTGAGATGCGAATTCGCCTAAAATAAACAAAGCGAAGAAATTCCACTCCAAATGTATGATACACGAGTGTTTTTGTTGGAGTGATTTCTTGTGAGGCCTCTCTGCCATTGTGCTAGTGTCGTCCGCTCTTCTTTTTTTTTAGTTTGTTGCGAGCGACTAATGAACTTTAGCTTGGCTTTGCTCTACTATACTCTCACTCTCAATGGGTTGCTCTCTCTCTCTCTCTCTCTCTCTCTACCATCTATATACCTCTCTCTGCGTCTGCCTCCTGTCTTTGTCTTTGCTGTTTGTTGTCTTTTGTAGTTTTTCCATTCGTTCTCTCTCGCTCTTGGTTGCCTTCACCCAGGCATTCGCATTCAACTTGTTGATAGCTCACAATTTTTCTTTCACCCTCTTTCCTCTTGCTGCTTTTCGTTTTTCTTTTGCTATGCTTTTGTCAGATTTTTCTTATCAGGCGTAAATAAATTGTGTCTCTCGATGTGTGTGCGCCACTGTGTCGGTGTGTGTCTGTGACCTGGGAAATGGCCGACTTTTGCTTGCCGTTAGGTGTCGGTTGCGTTACTGTAGCTGCTGCTGCTGCTGCTGCTGCTGTTAACGCTAACGTGACCATGGCCGTAATTGATTGCCGCCTGCCTGCTGCCGATAGCCTAATGAATTGATGGAACAGCAGCAGCAGCAGCCGACGCAACAGCAACAGCAACAGTTTCGGCAGTGGCAACGGCAGTGGCGACAGTAGCGCCACATGAAGCGTCAAAGTTTCTGCTCCAAGAGGCTTACGGGTGCAATAGAAAAAGAGGGCATGCGCCTGCAGTTACATGCAGTTCACATGACACAAAATGGCATCTACAGTACATTACTTTACCGTCATAAGCTACTTATCTTAGAGATAGCAAAGCAACAAATAATTTTTTAATAGTGTCAAGACATATTAGGTAGACTTTTCTTAATTTTTGTGTTCGAATTAAAAAACTAACAAATGCATAAAATTCTTATTCTGACCATCTGAACTAGTTATGACTAATTTACTACAAAGCTCCACTTAATGAAGTAGCTTAAAATGCATGGGAGACAATGGAAAACAGAACCAAAGTTGTAATCTTCAGCTGAAGTTTACTTAAACTCTGTTTCTCAATTGCTTTTGGAAGTCTGTTTCTTGGTTCGGGCGATATTGAGTTAAATATTGGAATCAAACAAAGCCAACAGCTGTTTTCCTTCGCTTCTTCTTTTCGAAAAACAAAAAAGTAAGGAACAAAAAGCATTTCTGTGGCATGACTCAAGACAGAGACCGAAACGCGTCGAATGTATCGTATCGAGAAATGCACCGTTAGTTATCTTTCATGTCCAAAATAAGGAAAAATACAAGCACAAGAGAGTATGTGTTTGCACTCACGTCAGTTGGCCAAAAAGAACCGGCTTTTTGAGCAAACCAGAAACAGAAAACAGACTCGAGCCAAAAGAGCAGCAAAAAGCGGTAGCAGCAGCACAAAAAACCCACTCAAAAGTTTGCTCTTTTCAGATAAACTTTCGATACTCTTTTACCCCGACCAAAGCTCTGACTTTGCGCGCAAAAAGCTTGTTCTCTCATTTCCCCTTACGATATTCAATTTGCTGTTTGAGTCTCTTCTGCTCAATGCCAAAATGCCGGCTATGAACATTGGAGTAAAGCGGAAAATAGAGCAAAGCAAAAGCAAGGAAATAAAGTAAACCAAAAGCAAAAATAGTAAGGCAAAACAGAATTAAAAGACAAGAATGAGAATAGCTTACAAAATATTATTCAATAAGTTTCTTTCGATATTAAACTTGAACAAAGATTGTTTGTATTTTACTCGCTATTTTTGCTGATAATATTTTTTCTGTTCATTGGTCTTTTTCTTTTGGACCCCTCTATTTGTTAGAGTTTCTGTTTTGTTTTCTTGAAACGGAAACGGCAATGACGGCACACACAAGTGAAATGTAACGGCCGCTCAGTATGTGAGTGTGCTGTGGTGTTTGTGGCTCTGTCTGTGTGTACTTATGCCTCCATAAACCACATCACATGGAGGAGCAGAGCGTGACACCAGCAACGACATCAGCAGCGCCACTTCTGGCTTTGGCTTCCTTTGTGGGAAAGTGTTGACAAAGCGTGCCAAAAAGCATCTTCCAACCCGCGAGAGGACCTTCTCTTTCGCATTCCCCCTCTGCTTGTTGCCATTACAAAGATAAACATAGAACCCGCCATAGCCTGTCTTTACTGTACTTGAAATAGGGGACTCTTAGAGCGTGGTTCCGCGAAAGTAAAGTAGGGGGATCTGGGCCATAAATTGTGTAAAGTTCTCTCCTAGTTCTCATCGTCCGCCTGGTTGACTCCTCCATTTCGTTGCTCTTGCTGTTTCTGTTCTGTTTCTGGTTTGTTTGTTTGCCTTTGCCCCGCTGTTTGTTTGTCCGTGCCGTTTGTTTGAAATTAATTAAAAGTTTATGTGATTGTTTTTTAGCCCATCCACACGTTTTCGGAACACCCACAGCCAGCACCCACTACAACCACCATAAACCAATCTCAATAGAAACGCCACTCACTGTGGAAACCGAACCAGCCTTGGAACCCCACTTGAGGGGTTCATCATTCATCTTTTTGGGGTTTCGATTACATTGTTTTCATATTCAAATCGATTTTAGCATCGATTGGGGGAGTAAGTAAAAAGTGTAAAGGGGTATTTGGTGTTCTTAGATTGGAATCCTTCTTTAAGGACATTTCGAATTATCATCTGCGGCAGTGCATTTACCCCTTAGCACATCAATAACCCATGAATAACCTAATTGAAACCTCTCTTTCAGATACGTTAAAAATTCATAAGACAAATTTCTTGCCTTATGATTTCGACAACATTTCAATTTTCTGCCACTTAGCAAACATTTCTCAAGCAAGTCTCATTAAAATTTGATGGTCCAAGCATGGCGCTAATGAGACACAGACAGATAGTCAGATTCCGTTTCTTGGGAAGGAAAGAATGAATAAACGCTAAAACATGCCACAAATTGCAGAACAATGAATGGCATTGAACTTTAGAGACGCTTTTTGTTTGAGTTCTCAAAAGTGAGCCATGAAAAAGGAGCTCAGATTTCTGTGAAGAAACTTACCAATCTTTCGCCGAGCACGCCACAGGACAGGCGGAGCCGCATTGTTGGGTGACGAAGCCATTCCGCAGTTCAAAGTTCAATCGAATCTGCAATTGTATGAAATCAACTATTAAAGAAACGCAGACAAAATATAATTATCTACCACTGAGATTATTTTACACAGAAATTTATTAATTGCCTGATTGATTGAGTCGCCGCGCCGTTCCAAATGGGAACATGGTCCGCATTTTGTTGGAAAAACCCTCGAGCAAACCTTGAGATAACATTCAACATTGAATTCCCCAAATAATGCCAAAATACCAAAAGATACATCCGCCAGCAAAAACGCCTAAGAATGAATGAATGCTTGGGTGAATGACTGAATGACAAGCTTTGATTAATGGAGTCGCGATTCGCAGAGCAGCAACATCATTAGACTATTTATGAATCTTGGTTTTTTGCGCCAAAATATGAAAAAAGTGTGCCTTTTTTTTTGGTCAAGTACAAGTATTTTTCCGTCATAAATAATATCGTGACACATGTGTCTGGGGAGGAAAAATTATGTTGCGAAATGAGTGAACGTTTACTGATGCTTGGCAATTGAATTTCAACTTTCAAAGGAGATTTTTGGTGAGGGAGATACTTATTTCAAGTGTGACTCTCATCGACCGAGAGCTAGCTGATAGATTGTTGGAGAGATGGGCACGAATAGTCACACTCAACTGATAAGCTGGGAAAGCCCTGAAGTCTAGACAGACAATGGATATCTTGGCCAAAATTCTTTGTTCCTCAAAGAATGTTTTCAAGGCCTCAAGGATAAAATAAAAATTGAGACGTCAAATGGTCTCGCACTTGCAACGATCTTATCAATATCAATCTTTCTTTCATTCCAATAAGCTCTGAATATATTCAGAGAATTCAAATTCGAATTCGATTGAGTCCCCCATGAAATATTGAGTAATTTTCCACAATATCTTCTTAAAGTTTTTGCATATTTTTATTGCTAAGCGGATTATGGAAACCCCTGACAGTAATCAATAATTATTCACTAAATAAACAAAAGGCACACAGAAAAATCTTGAAAGGAAGTTGATAAACTAACAAATGGCCATAAGCCTTGGGCAAATTTGGCCATAAACAAAGTTGGAGAACAATAATAATATTCCAGCCAGTAGGCATAATCTACAAACATTTGTTGAATGAAATTCCTCAATAAACGAATAGATTTTATATCTCCCAAGGAAAAAAACAAACAATAATAAATAATTCGGCACCTCTATAATGCCCAGAGCTTTCATCATTATAAACTTTTAGATTGTTCACTTTTATGGGTACTCTCCCGCTCTCTCGCTCTCTCTTTCTTTCTCTCTCACTGCTGCCTCATGTTTCTTATCAGCTGTTGCTGCTACTGCTGCTGCCTTCAGCGATTGTCGTCTTATCAGGGACCGACCTTGACTTTATATCTCAAAAATTAGTGGTAGGCGCCTTTCAATCTTCTTTTCATTTCCACTCAAAACGCGGACCGTGGCCATAGGAGTCAATGAACCACAAGAAGCACAGAACAATTGTATAGCAGCAGCTCGGCTCTCTAGAAGGTCTCGTTTTTTTATTCAGATTTCAGTTTTTGATTCCTAATAAAATTCAAGAGCACAGCCGCAGCAGAATTCCATTAAACCTAATTAAGGGGCACGCTTTTTGCTTTAAAATTTCATGAAAATCCATAACACATAAAGTGCCTGCTGAAAGAAAATTAAATGAGAATTAAATATTACCCAGCTATGTACACAGATTTGCAACTGAATTTTCCCTATTAATATTGCAAACGTTTCATAGAGGAAAGTATAGAAACTTGGAATTTGAAAAGCATAAGATAGAATAGAAATTTCTACAAAAAGAGCAGACCCCTTTTTCTTTACTCCCAGAGGGTATTGAAAATATATTAAATATTTAGCAACATTTTATTTTATTTCTTATTTATTGGGCTGTCATTTTTGACGCCATGGAATCCCCTTCGTCGACTGCAGGGCGCCATGTCAATTGCGTTGCTGTCCAAGAGGTTAATCTTTTGCTGAGGCACGCTGAGCAGCCACAACAGATAGTGGCTGATGAGGGGGGCTGATGATAGGGTTAGGTTCCACCCGATTATAACTGCGCACAAAATGTATTTGCAATTAGTGGAAGACAATGGAAAAACTGAAACAAAATGAAATGCAAACACACGGCAAAAAAAGTCATTAGATAACCCCCAAACCAGATGAGAGAGTGGAAATTGTTTAGAGAATTGGCAAGCACATGGGAGGCACAATTATTAGGTAACTTTTTACTATTTTCTATAGTTTATGGACTGCAAAACAGTTGCGACAAAAAGTGTGACAACAGATGGAAAAATTTCAATTGGATTTTTCTGTTAAAACTCGTATTTAGAGCAGTTCTACATTTAAAGATTACACTCAAAATTTCTGATTTTCGTCAAGGCATAACTTTTTTTTCCAAGTAAAAATATTAAATTCCTGCAAAATGTCATCGACAAAATTCTTTTTATTGATTACAACCGGCGTGAGCTTATTGGGATTATGCATCTACTATGACCGAAAACGTTTGAGCGATCCGCAGTACAAAAGGAAGCTGCACGAGCGTCGTCTACGGAGGGTTGTAGAACAGAAGGATTCTCAGATATCGGTACATGAGCAGACAGTGAGGCAGCAGCATGTTCAGCACCGTCTCCAGTTGGAGCTGTTTATTTGGATGCCTGCCGTCAAATGTCTGGCCCATCCGACGGTCCTCAAGCAGTTGTTTCATTCGGAGCTGGAGCTGGGGGATCAACTTATGCATAAAGGTCACCTAAGCAAGGGTCTAACGCACTTGGCCAAAGCCATTATGCTGTGCAGGCAGCCAGCCATCCCTCTGCATAACCTCCAAGCGACCATGCCAAAAGCGTTGCTCCAGCCGCTGATCATACGAGTGTCAGAGTTTCTGGAGGAGAATCGACAGTACCGCGAGATGCTAAAGTTGTTCTCTTCTAGTGATGCTGACGAGGGGATTAGCAATGGCAAAGCATGGTGATCTAACCCTAGCTTCTCCCAGTGGCCAACGAGTCTTTGTAGATGGATACAAAATTTGTCTTTGCATTTGGTAAAATAAACCGAAAACTTTACCCCCAACCTGCCTTCAATCTCTCATTAAATCCCAAATTGTTCTTCAATTAAAACAGTGCCCTTGCAATTGTCATTGAAAGACCCACAGAATGCCCCAAAAAAAACACTTTACTAGTACTATCAGAAAATCGGCAAAAAATTCATAATTAATATAAAACGCACATCACGAAAAGTTGTGGGTTTTTGCTGTTGTTTTGTTTGTGCGACTATTAAATGCGTAATCATCTAAATAACAATAATAACAATTCACGTACAATGCCAGAGAGTTCGTATACCGCCAGAAACCGTAAACATCAACAGAAATTATTGTTGCAAAAAGCAGCTGGTCGGTTGGTGGGGGTAACTATGCGGCATAAACAGGGCTTGAAGCGTCTGGGAGCGTCATGAAACAGCTTGGAGCGGCACGAACTGCTTTGGCAAACAGTAAAAGGCAACAGAAAACCTGGAAGGAGAAGCGTTATGGAAATCTAGGTGAGATACTCCCACACACCCTCGAAGATACTCCCACCCATAATCATTGGGGCTCCACCCAAGGCTCCATCCGACAGGCAACAAATCAATCAGCGATAACAAAAAAACGCAGACCTGTTTCGCATATTTAATATTATATATTTTGTCTGCACTGACCCAAAAAAAAAATATGTTTTTGCCATTTTAAATTCGAACTTTATGGCGAAATTCTGTAGAGTTGTCAGGGCAGTGTTTTTTGTAGGGAATAAACTTGTCTCTAGGAAAATAACCACCAAATTAAGTAGTTCTGTCTAAGTTCGGTCTATTTAAATTTGCATATTATAAAGTGCTGTCACTACTGCTGGTTTTTTTGTGTAAGTTGAACAATGGGAAAGGCCCTATAAAGGCCCTAAACTTCAGGAAAGTCCCTTAAACAAGTCGAGTGACAAAGTAAAGCACCAGTTCCAGATAATTTAGTACCAGTTCATTCCATCATTTAACTAGTTAAAATGGTTAGATTTCTTAGTTTCAGCCAGTTCATTGCAGTTTTTAGCAATGTAAATTAATTTAAATGTTAATTGCAACAGAAAACTATATGAATATTAATATTAAAACTACAATAAAGAAAGAATGATCCGATGGTTTGATTTAACTATTTAATTATCATCTGTTGGAAATTCCGAAATTTAGAATTAGAATTAAGAATAATAATTAGAAAAGATCATTTATCATTTTGTTAAATATAACTAAATAATTTAATTTAATAAAATGTTTGATGAAATCATGAATATTAATGAACAGACATTATAAGGTTCAATAACTTTGCATAAATGAAGAATTAATGTTGCAGAACAGTTAAATAAATGTTCGATTAATGGTGAATAGGAAGAATGCTACGAATGAATGCAGTGAATCGTTTCAAAGCGAGACTCAAAGATACAAACTTGCAATCTTATCAATCTTTAGATGTAACATTGTATATCTTTCACCACTCGCACGCCCTGCACTTCGATGGAAAGCCTGTACTGTGAGGTACATTACACTTCTGTGACTCAAACATCAGAAGTGCATCAATCATTCATTCATTGGTTATCACTTCAAGCCAGAACATGCCCATACCCATATAGTACACCCAGACACTGACCAGAAATAACTCGAATCGAAGCAAAAGACAGCGTCAGAGCTGATGTTTGCGTCACCTGCTGGCTCTTACCACGTCACGGAGAGCGTGTGTTATGGAAAGATTTGGCTTTTTTGCATGAAATTGTTAATTAACAAAAGACTTGAGTGATAGAGAGCGAGATGTGTCGCCAGCAGATGAATCACAGTCACATTTTCAATATTGGGAGCACTTTTCCAGCAGGTGGCAACAAAGGGAGTTCCACTTTCAGAAACCCCCACAACCCCACCTCAAAAGTGTTGAAAGGTGCACGGGAATTGACTCGTCTAATCAGCACGATAATGTTAATTTGAAATACGCGTGGCTTTTAGCATTTTTTTGATGGGTTCCCAGGTGCCGGCGGGCCATACCACCCCTTTGCCACCTTCTGATATCCGGACAAAACGTAGACCGCGAGCCGCTCTACACTTATCAGCAGTAGGGGGCAACAAATCTGCTCAAATAACACGCACATGTACTCGTACCATGGGAATATCTACTATATTATAAATTGTATATGCTATATGATATCTTATCTAACGCATGACATGCATGTCAGGCATTTAAACGACGCATTAAACGGCAGGTAAAACTCCACAAACCTATGGAGTAAAACACCCCAGAAACACTCCTTTATGACGGAGCAGAGTGTCTGTTTCTCTTGTTGAGAAAGAATGAAAGTTCTAGTGTCTCCCAGAGAGTTGCAGGTATTCAGTTAGAGCAACAGTCCATGATTCAAGTTTAAGTTTGTTATGTTTAAGCCAAACAATTTACCAAAAGAACCAAATATACGTAAAGTACACAAACAGAAAATAGTCGTACGAGTATTAGGGCTATGAAAATAAAGAGGAATGCAGAGGAAACTGTAAACAAATAAAGTGGTACTCTCCATGGCACATTTTTTCCAAGAAAATGTAGAATCTAACATTCAAATTTCGTATGTAGTTGGAAAGTTTTTGTGGTTATTGAGCATTGTTAGATAAGTACAAATATGGTTCATGTGAAAAATAGTCATAGAATACAGAGAATTTGTCTACAGAGAAATCAGAGTCATGGAATGGAAATTACTGCGAAGATACACAACGAAATAAATCTCGCATTCTATGCAACACACTTGCAACTCTCTAATTACTCATGCAACAAATTTTAAATATTTACAAGTATATTCCAAGCAATCATCATTTGATAAACAAAAGCAAACAAATGAACGAACAGACGGAGGAACGGTGAAAAAGGTAACAAATATTTCCCGCTTATCTGATTCACGTGGCTCCGAAAAACAGTAGATAATGAAGCGGCTGCTCTAATTATCTGACAGCTGGACAAATGTTCATAAAGCCCACACACGTTCCCCCACATCATCATGATCATCATCCACATCAACATCATGCGAGTATCTATCTGTATCTGTGTATCTGTATCTGCATATCTCTCATCTAAAAGTTAATTACAGGTCGTTTCTATGTGAAGAATGAGAGAATACATGTACATATCTAGATTCTAGAATGAAACATGATTTAATAAGACATTTAGAATGCCAAACACGTTTAGGTTACTGCAAAGAGTAGGAAAAATATCAAGCGGTAGACCTTAATGCGTGATTCCGTGATTGATTTTGGAACAGGAAGAAGCGAACCCGGCGAACAGTTGTCGGGAAGTCATTGCACGATTTATTGTGTGTCCAAGTGTTTGATTCAGGGTGCACGCATACTTATCGCAGAAACTGTGTTGTGTGTGGTGTGTGGTCTGTTGTGTGTGTCCGTGCTTTTTATGGGAGTTAAATAAAAAAAAAAACCACTCCACTCCTTTTAATTAGCCAAGCCAACTGTAAAAACCAAGATGATCTGACAGCAGACAGCAAGCAGGGTTTGTCATTCATTAAACGTAAAGGAGATTTTAACTGATTTTTCAGCAGCAAGGGGCATGCCTCCATAAACCTCAATTGCTGTCTGGCAATTGTCTTATCTTATGACCACATACATATAACATGGTAGCTCTTCTGCCACACAAATGTATCTTTACCATTTGCTTTGCCTCAAAATGTACCCCGTTTTCTACCGCCAATTGTATCTCTTCTCTTGCCCCTCTTTGCCATCTTTACCTTTACAGTTATTCGGCTAACGAGCTTCGCCAAACACAACAAACAACAAAAAAAACGAGCAGAAAAAAATCTCTTGCCTCGTTTTTTGCTGCTTTTTTTGACAGTCTCAAGCACCGGCACTTCATGGCAGCAGAAGCAGTACAAAAATGCTTAAGAAAGCATAAAATGCAATTAAAAGAGGGATCGCAAAGAGAGAAAAAAGAAATTAGAGCAAGTGGCTATGGGGGGAAAATGGAAATTTATTGGAGAAACCATAAATAAATAATAGAAAAAGTAAAACTATTTTGGTGAGTTAGAAAAAATTGATTGAACAGGGTATATTTTTTATTAAAATAAGAAATTTATTTATTTAATTATATTGGTTATTTGTCAGACAAGAACACATGGTTCCTAGTAGCACTTGTAACACTTCTGTAAAACATTTAATTTCCAACAGACAAGAAAACTAAAGATGTACTTATACGAAAACAGAGTACAGAGTACTAATGAACGCTGAGGGCAGAAGATAGATGCTAGAGGGAGTAAATACAGAGACCAGGGGACCACTATAAATAGATTCATTCAAGGGTGATTGAACGCTGAAATCAGTTGGCCGCCCAAGAGAAATATGCATTTTATTTTTTACAAGAATTTTAAAGCAAAAGAATTCTAGAAAAACCATCTACTGAACAGCTAATAAATGTACACCTTTCAGATGCGAGAACATTATAGTTTGAGTAATAATCAATATTTTTATCAGCTTCCGCACTTAAGCTCTAGAAAACTTACAACAATTAAAACGCCTGACGTTGCTGTTTCTCAATTAATCCCAAAATGTTATTGTAAATAACAACCTTTCCTCAATTGTTTTCACTTGTTGATTTGTTGAATTGAAATAAATTTACTTTTATTGAAAGGTTATTTAATGTATCATTCCATACATGTGTGTGTGTAATTATTTATGTATTCGTATATACAATATTTTTATGGTATATATCATTAATTCACTCAACTCTGGCTTCAACTTTCATTTGAAACAATCGAATCGCGTGATTAACTTTTTATTTATTTTTTTGTGGTTTTTACCCTTTGCTTCTTGCTCTCTTTCTCTTTCTCAGACGAAATGAAATTCAAGCAAACACGAAATAAAGAAACAAAAACTGTCACTATGAGGAATAATAAATTAAAAGATGCACGGAAATAATTTGTTGCTTATTAAATGTTATTCTTTAAGTGTAAATTTTTAGCATTGATTAGGATTCTACTTTTTTGAGTATATTTTGTATATTTATGTGACTTTTATTGGGTTTCTTTTACGAACTTCTAGGACTTATTTTCGTATGTTTTGTATATTTTGCATAGCATGTTTTGTTGTATTTTATTTTGTTTATTTCTTGGATTCTCTTTTGGGGGATTTGGGTCTTGATTTGGGCCAACACATACACACTCACAGATTTCGCAGCTATAAATCACACAGACTCTGGAATTGGTAAATTCTGCTTCGTTTTATGCTTATTTCGCTGCTCTGCTCTCTCTCTATCTGGCTCCGCTCTCTCGCTTTGATCCACAATACAATAAAATACAAGACACTTCACAGTTATTTCGTAGGGTCCGCAAAGAAACTCTTAACAATTTACAATTTCTTTCGTTTTCAGCGACACGCAAAACACTGCTCAGCCTGATCGAATCGGATCATCATTATCTTGATCCCAAGAATACTATATATAATCCACATCCAGGCAGCCAGACAGGCCAAAGGCAGAGGGCGAGGGCGACGCGACGTGACTTTCCGTATTCTGTGTATTCTGTTTTCTCGCTCTCTTCGTCTCGCTTTGCTTTGCTTTTGCTTTGGATTCCACTTTCGGCGAGAAAAAACGACCGAACTGAACTGTGCGCGCGAAGAACTGAAAGCACAGCGGATCGGCGGCAACGTTTGGCGCTCGGTTTGTGGCTGGTGAATCTCGTGGAGAGTCGGCAGCGTCGCCAGCGGCGTTGGATCATAAGCGTTGTTGTTGCACTGTGCAGGGTAGGCTCGTGTAAGGTGAGAGCGCGCTCACCACGGTCCCAAATGCTTATACCAAACTATACGGTAGTTTTAGTGCGAAGAGAAAGCCTCACCTAATATCAACGCACCTTTGTGCTTGACAGCTGCAGAGAGAGTAATTGAGAGAGCAGTCCAGTGATTGCCAGAGAGCACTAGCACCACGCTATAGAAAAGAGCGAGGCAGATCATTCCCTCTCTATCTCTAGCACTTGGCTTCCACGTTGTAAAATGTTCTTATTAGGCTTAACCCTTCTCCGTGCCAGTGCTTCCTACTGGACCACCACCGCCCGTCTTTTTGGCAAGTAAAAGGTTCAAAGTCCACTTTCCACTGAACGAGTGCAACCCGAGCTCAATCTTCCAGGGGCTGCGGGGCAGGGGGAAGAGCAAAGGTATTCGGGATGTGGCAATCACATTGCATCCAGTTTGCCGTTTGCCTTCACACCTCCACGCCGTCATCCCCCCCACCCGGCACCACTGCAGTGCCTTGTTTGACAAGTTCGCTTTGCCCCTCCCCTTGGCCAAAAGCATTGGTGGCTGCTGCTAACTGAAACTAATTCTCGCATTGCGCACTCTGCTTTGCATTTCCATTCCCCGCCCCAGCATGCGGGATGTTTGACGGGTAAGATTAGTGAGTGAGGGAATAGAAAGCCAATGGGTTAACGGGCAAGTGAACAGTGGGTTAAGTGGGGGAGTTTTACCCCCCCGGTACTTTATCATTCAGAGAAGTCCATGAATACTGAAGGTACCATACATTTCAACATGTCGTGGTCGTAACCCTCTTCTCTTGTACTGTTTCTTTGAGCTTTTAACCTTTACTCGAACTAGTTCTGCCATGTCGACATCTCTTTATTCTTTTTTTGGGTCAAGAAGTCAACGAAAAATACAAAAAATTGCAACAATTACAAAAAGAAATAGTTGAAAACCGAACAAAGATTTCCAAAGCAAAGAAACCGCAAAAGCCAAGAAGCAAATGACTCCCAAGACACGGCTCGCGTGATTTGATTTCTGTGAATTTCTGGGATGGGGTTGGAGGGGTCTCTATTTGCAAAGATATACACGAGTACTGGGGGACTTATGATATTTAAGAGCCTCCACCGCGCATATGGTATATGGTGGTGGTTGGTGCTTGTTTTCACAGTCACATTTGGGGGGATTGATATTAGCAATTAGCAGACCACAGCATCAGCGTCAGCATCAGACTCTTGTGTGTGGGGGGGAGACGATTAGTCACAGATCATTTGGCAATAGGTTGGTAGGTGTCGATTTTAGCTACACTTTTTGTTTCTCTCTTTGCTTTCTGTAAAATGCCAAATGAAACACAAACAAAATAATAAGATACAACAAAATAGAGGAGAAACATTTTCGCGTTGCCAGGTTAGTGGGCCGGCAGCGGTGGCGAAGGCGGCAGCGCATGTGATATTGGTAGGTACGAGTACACATACCTTATATGTTTGCATATGGTTGGTCTATATAATGGCCAAAAAACAGACAACACATGTGGCCAAGAGACTGACGCCTGACTCTGACATTGCCCCTCTGGTATCTGTTCTCTGCCAGAAAGCCAGCCAAGCAGACACCAACCGACAACCGAGACGACAATTGTCTCTAAGTAAAACAGTTCAAATCAAGAACAAATACGAGAAATTTACACTAAATCAGACAGTGAGCTCGTGTTCGGCCCGGGCCCAACTTGAGACTCGCAATGGCAAAAAGTATATTAAACACCGGAAAATTACTGTGAGAAACTAGTCTGCAGGCGGAAGACATTCACACGTGCCCGGTGATGCCATAAACGGTGTCGCTGCGGACACCCACGGGATGGTGTTCAAAGAAAAGTTGGCAGAGGTTTGTCCATCCAGGGAATTTTCACTGTTTCGAAATTTACATATGGGAATTGCGTTCAAAATCAATTTCTTTATAGTATCATCAGCGGAATGGAGCTCGTTATCGCCTTTTGCATTGCATTTTGCATAGCATAAATGTATTTCCATGCCTTCCATAGCTTCATGTGATATTTAATGGAGAATTTATCAATATTATGCAAGCGAAAGAACCATGAAAGGGGCTAAGAACTATCCTTTTATCCATTCGAATTCATTCCTCACCTCTTCACAAGACAACACTATCCGCTACCCTCAAAAAGTATCTGGCAAAATTGCATCATCAACTGTGTGGCCAGTGCCCCATTCCCTAGTGCCCCTCCGCCCATTCTGGGGCATCATCAACAGCATCATTCTGGACCATTAAAAATAAAATACACACATTGAAAGGCACCGTGCGCCAATTGTCAGAAATGCAAAGGAATTGTGTAAATTTGCACACAGAAAATAAAAGGAAATCTAAAACTGAAATACAACTGGCGGAAGCCATAAAGAACCTGATGCTGGAACGAGCCAAAACGAGCTGGAACTTTCTAGCCTTTTGTGCTCGCTGCCAAAAAATACTGAATGAAAACTGAACTTAAATATTTCTATGAATCAATGCTTAGGAAACGCTGGGAGATTGCATACAGAAATTTATTGTATTTATTTGCATTGACAACAAACGGCAATAGAAAATCTGTCTCTCTCTCCCCATTGCTGTCAATAACGGTCACGTTTCCCCCTTTTGGTGCCGCAAACAAAAAATGCATTGTAATGGCTATGGGGATGCTATCTAAGTGTTGTATCAACAATGGGGCAACAATTGCCCACAGAACACAGACACAGCAACGACTACTACAACGGATCTATGGAGATTGAAACGGCAACAAATTAAAGCCAAGATAATCAAGATTGAGAAAACAACCGACATAGAAATAAAAAAACAGACAACAAACTGAGAAACTGTGAAAACAAAAACAGTAAACACCAACAGTGTGACTTTTTGTCATGCTAAAATTGACTACAACGCGAATGACAAATTATAAACAGAAAGAGCAACAATTGAGGCAACAATTTGCGCGTAGCTGCAGGAAAAGGGTGCAAGCTGGGGTGTTAATCGAATGCGCAATGCCAGAACAAGCCAAAATACAACCTGGAAAACAGTGGAAAACAAAACTGTATGGCAAACAAGTTCTAGTTTCAAGAATACGTAAAAATAAATTGCTGGTAGCTGCCGAATACTTGTACGAATCAGCAATGTCCGATTTTATTCCCCCAATTTACATTTTTTTTCTCACTTACTTCAATCCCTCCGAAACTCACAATTTTCACTCTACATTTTTGTGAAGCACTGTAGCAGTTTACCTACAAAGTAAAGAAAGAGGAGGAAACACTCATAATTCGTCATGAAATATCAACAACAATTTGCTTGCATTTAAGGGTCAGTGGAGAGTTGCCCTCAGGGGAATGGATCATCGAACGATGAACCAATCAACATTGAACCCACTTCAGAGATTGCACTCTGCTCTCCAGATGCAAATTGCCAAAGTAAAGAAAAGCCAAGGCAACAATTTAATTGAGCCACAAATGACGGAAACCGCGCACACAAGAGAGCCACAAAAATTAAAATGCAATTCACAAGCCACTGACAAGTCTACAAGCAAAAGTCATTAAAATACCGCCACGACAAATGTGGTGGCAAATGCTTGTCAAATCAGCATAGTTTATGCTTTATAGGAATTCTAATTGTGCATACGAGTACTAAACTCGTGAAGCGTTTGTGTAAGGAAATTCTTGAAACTTCATTCGAGTACGACAGCGAGTGAATCGTACTGATTCATTGACGTGCTAAGCGGTTTTTTATTTATTCAATTTCCTTATAAATCAATTGATAATTCCTCGTTTTGGTGGCATTACTCATTGCTCATACGCAGTGCGGGCAAGACTCTTACGCAGTGCGGATAACACGCCCATGAAAGGGGTTTCACGTTTACTTATGCAGCGGGGGCTTTACTTTCACTCGACGGAAGTGGCAAGCTTCTCTCATTCTCAATGTATAATGTCACATAAGCGCTGTATCTTATATAAGTCACTCAAAGGCAGTAGTTGCAATTTCACTCAATGCCAGTGGGGGGTGTTGCGCTCATTCAAACGCAGTGCAGATATCACTCGCACCCCATACGCTCAAATGCCATGCTATGTAGAAGCCATGTAGAGTTTTATAGCAGCCAGCTTTTGACAGACAGTTCCAGTTAATTCCGCTTTCAAGTGGAGCCAATAGTTTCACACTGGCGCCACCTGCCGGACGACAGCAAAATGTGTAGAGGAAAAAGGTAATTTTGAAATAAAAGGCAACAAATCCAATTTAATATTTACTGCAATCCAAAAACAGTGTTGAAATGGCCTGTCCCTCATGTGAGAGCATCCTGCAATTCAGTTTATAAATTCAAACTCTTGCAGAAAATATATCGAAGTATAGATCCCGCTGCAGCGTGCCAGCAAGCTCTATTCGGAACTGTTCCCATCGCCCCAAAGAGCAACTGCCACATTCCACATGTTTATAAATGTGATTTCATCAACATACATTTGAGCACTCGAAATGGAACGTTTTTATGGCTTGCATTTTGTCTCTCCCGCCTCTCTCTCACTCTATTTTTTATGATGTTTACATTTATGCAAATTCCATGCTCGTAGAAGTCATTCAACTTTCAGGACAGCCCCGTACGTGTGGTTCTGTCTTGTACTACGTGCCCATAAAGCCAAAACGATGACCTCTTCAAATGACCGAATAAGCTGCCACTTCACAATTTCAGGTCAAGCTACGGCGCTGCAAACATCACTCGGGATTTCCACCTGTGGCCCCAGCGAAAGCCCCCCAGATAATGGCCATAAAACAGCAACAAAGTAGGCCCACAAAATGGCTAAAAAATAATGTAAAATAAATGCCAGACATAAACTTAAATGCAGTCTTAAATGTTGAGCAAATTCTGCCTCGTCCCTTTTATCAAT